TGGCGCTTGTCGCGTAGCGCTGGACCAGGGGCGTTACACCTGGAGGCACGACAACGTACTCGGGGTCATCGTCAGGAACATGCGTGAGGAGATTCGAATCCGCACTGCTGCAAACACCGTACAAACCGAAAATTCAAATGAGCTTGACTTCATCTCGTTTTGCAAGGCGGGAGAGAAGCCAGTTCGCGTTCAGCCCAGACGAAAGTTGGTTACGACTGATCTCCTGTCAGCGGCCTCAGACTGGAAACTTCTTGTCGACTCAGTTAGTGCAAAGATTTCTTTCCCTAGCTGTGTTGCACTTACCACCCTAAGACCAGATATAGTTCTGTACTCTACGAGTCGTAGGATTGTATTCTGGATGGAGTTGACAGTTTGTGCTGAGGACAGATTCAGTGTCAGTAACTCGCGGAAGGACAGGCGGTATGCGGATCTGGCCGATCAATGCCGAGCGAACGGGTGGCAGGTCGTTTCTTTTTCGGTTGAGGTAGGTGTGCGTGGTTTCATCCCGGACTCTCTTCGGAGGGCTCTGAAAGCGCTTGGATTTTCTAATCGAAGAATAAAATTTATTTGTAATTTGTGCAGTAAGACGTCTCTGCGAAGCAGCTACATCATCTGGTTGCGGCGTCAACAAAAACACTGGTCGGAAGATCCACTTTTCTGAGGTACTGTATGTGGGGCTCCGTTTATTGAGGTGCGTTGAAATTTATTCTCTTTATCTTATTATTTCTTTTCTATAATTTCCCCATATGAGTTCCTATCAGTTGCTGTGAACACCTTGAGTGGAGAGCGCTTGCTCGAGCGTTGAACCGGGTTCTTAATCCACCATACCCAGTTCGCAAGGCTGGGCGGGGTTGTGAGCAGGCTTTCATTTCATCTTTTCTTATTATTTCTTATTATTTCTGCTTTTCATCTCATTACAAAAATTCTGCGCTTTTTCTCCATCTGCGCATAAAATCTAGACTGACAACCTGCTTGTTAAATCATGCACCTGCTTTCAGGCGTAAAAACCCTGTTGTAGAGGTCTCAGTCCTCATTTGTTAGACTTACCTGTCTTTATAAATGTAACTTACTCTCTCTCTCTCTCTCTCTCTCTCTCTCTCTCTCTCTCTCTCTCTCTCTCTCTCTCTCTCTCTCTCTCTCTCTCTCTCTCTCTCTCTCTCTCTCTCTCTCTCTCTCTCTCTGTCTGTCTCTCTCTGCAACTGAGTGCTGCTGAACATTTGCATGGCCATGAGCAATGGTGAAGCTTGCTATTGCACTCTCAGCACGTGCTAGTATTATGCTGACTACTGCACTACGTTACTCTCCTACACTACTACATGTATGTAAACGTGCGTGCATCCGCCCACGTATGCATTCGTTTCGTATAATTATTTTATATCCCTCTTGACTTTACGTGTAAATGGGTGGACGTTTGCATGGCTGTTGGAGTTGCGTGTGTATTGTGTCTCTACTCTTTTCTTGGTGTTTTCTTTGAATGGTATAAGTGTGTGTGTGTGTGTGTGTGTGCGCGCGCGCACAATAATTTGAAAACAAATAATTAATCCTTCGCTTTCCATTATTCTCTTTCGATTCTTGGTTTTTTTCTAGGTATGTTCTTGGCGTTGTGTGGGTATGTGCATGTGTGTGTGTGCGTGCACAATAATTTGGCAACACTATACATGATTGAGATATTGTAATTTGCAGCGTCTGCAAAGAGTCCACTTGATTTGAGGATGGTGTTTGTAGGGTTTTTCATGTAATGAAGTGGCTGCAGTGGCGCCTTAATACTTAGTTTTTATCTTGAGAAGTGAATGATGTAAAGGATTAAAGGGAGAGGCCGTTTTCTGGTTAATATTCACTGCTTACAGCAGATCCTCTGTCTAATTTCGAGCTCTGGATAGGGGATGCCTAATTGGCTGGACTTTATACAGGGAGTGTTATCCACATAAAGACTCCTTATAGTTGATTTCAAAGTTTGGACTACATACAGTTGTCCAAATGGACTCTATATAGGGGTGAAGCCAATTGGCTGGACTCTATATAGGGAGTGATGTCCATCTAAACTTTGAGCTCACAGTTGATTCCAAGTTTGGACTCTGTACAGTGGATTTTGGACCAATGGACTCTATATAGGGGTTGGACATCTCATAGGGGCTGGACGCTCTACTGAGTCCAACATACACTGCAAGTCTACAAAAGAACTCCAGCACAAGTTGACAAGTAACTTGAACAGACTAAATACGTACCTTGGAAGCATTGGTCTCATCTTGAATGCCCAGAAAACGAAGTTCATGGTGCTTCGGAAAAAGACTCTGCCTCTTCCGCTGGATCTTACCATTGCATGCGGTGGTGTCGATATTCGACCTTCTGCCACAGCGCGTTATCTTGGCCTTATCATTGACCAACACCTCACCTTTCAGGATCAAGTCAACCATGTATGTACATCTGTTTATAAGAAGATAGGAGTATTCCGCCGCTGAAGCCGTACAGTAGATGTTGTTGTTGTTTATTTTACTTCACC